AAATTAAATTAAATTAAATTAAATTAAATTAAATTAAATTAAATTAAATTAAATTAAATTAAATTAAATTCCGGCGACCGGGGACCTTTCTGGTTAGAGTTTGCGTGTTCTCTCCAGGCACTCCAGCTTCCCCCCACAGACCAAAAACATGACTGTTAGGTTAAATGATRACTCTAAATTGTCCCTAGGTGTGAGTGAATGGTTGTTTGTCTCTTTGTGTGTCCCTGTGATGGACTTGTGACCTGTCCAGGGTGTACCCCGCCYCTCGCACTGTGACTGCTGGAAATGGGCACCAGTGACCCTGAAAGGAAAGAAGCGTGTACAGAAAATGGATGGATATATTAAGTTAAATTAAATTATTAAATTAAATTAAATTACATTAAAGGTGTAGCTGTCTGCAGAAGCACAAACACCCCTCATATCAACTGTGAAGCACGGTAGTAGAGGGGTGATGATTTGGGCTTGTTTTACAGCAGCAGGCACCTTGCTGATTTGTTTTTTTGTTTGTTTTTTCCCCATGTCTGTACGTCATCAGACTGTTCCTGCTGTGCTCTGACCACTCTCTCACCAGCAGCTGCTTCATTCAGGCGCAACAGAGCCCTGAGCCCCATGCTAACGTCAGCATTTTAACCTGCTCACTCTGACAAAACCTGAGGTACACAACAACATGTTTACACCTGCTCAGTTCTGAAACYAACGTTGGATCAACACTCAGATGATTTTTTATCTACAATTTGCCTCGTGGTTAAGGAAGATTCGTGGAGTTTGATCATGAAAGCCCGCCTGGCAGTGAGCCAACATGGAGTTTATTTAGCCTCGCTGTAAAAACCGAGCAGAACCAAAGTTCAGATCAGAATCCAGCAAAGAGTTGAACAAAAGAGGAAGCTCACCTGCCAAGGTGAGCTTCTTCCAGAGGCTGAGAGGTAAAGTAAAGAATCGAGGCAACTTTACACACAAACACAAACAACGAGAGAGAAATGGATGTAAASAGGAGTGCACGCTCCTTCCCGAGTGTCACTTTATCAGTGTTTCTCAACAGGCGCTTGTAGAAAACAACAAACTAACAACTTTCCCCACTCCTCCGGATCAAAAACAGACCACTTAGTAACACATTTTACTCATTGTTGTGAGGGGGGGCTGAAATTCCAGGCATTAGTGTCGTGCCTCCCCACTGAGCCTCTATTCATGGCCGAGGTCATGAGGCAGGAGAACACCAGCATCACGAAGCCTCTCCTCACAGAGTTACTGTAGACCTGAGGGTAAAGCACGTCCACAGCACCGCCGGGGTCGCTGGTGCGATTCCCTGCTAGGGTGTGATAATAACTACAGGGTTATGAGGTGCAGGACGGTCTCCGCAGCTCAAAGGRCACTGGATTAGTGGAGCAACAATAAAAGGAGACGCCGTTACGCAATCCTGCAGATAGGAATGATTACAGTGCAGGTGAGGAGGAGTTGTCTTTGTTTTACACCTCGCTGCAGAACAACTGGCTGTAGATGCAGTGTGCATTATTTGCATTATTGAGCAATGAGGGGGGGTCATGTCCCGGCCTGTCCTGGTTCCTCCTCATCCAGACAACAGGAGGGTGCAGGGTGCATTCATCAGACATCATGGACCCACCTCAGCTGCTCTCCGGTGACCAGAACCTCGGCCAGGCGCTCCAGCTCAGCAGCCTTCTTCTGCATGGTGGTCCCGATCCCGTCCATCCCTCTGCTGGAGAACACACACAGTTCAAGTTGCCTCACACATAAAACCTCAGCCTGGATTTTGGAGGAGAAAGCTGAATGTGCACAAGATGGCAGAGAGAGAAAATTAAAAGAATTCATTCGGATCACTTTTAAACTCTTTGGGGTTGACTTACCCTTCRAGCACCATGGAGAGCGAAGAGGTGATGAGTTTATGAGTCCTTTAAAAAACTGAGTGGACGCATGAAGTCAGGAGGGACAACAGCAGCTGCATGAACACGTTTCATTGATTCATCCCCACATCCATCCATCCATCCATCCATCCATCCATCCATCCATGCTCTCCTGTTTGGATCAGAACCTTCCCCGGCTCTCCGGAGGCTGCTGGTTTGTTTGTGTCTCACTGACCGACTGTCACACACAAAAAAAAAAAAAACACCGGATCCACTCACGTTTCCTCCCCGACACCGAAGCACCGCATTGGGAGGCTTCTGCTGGCGTCAGTGGGGGGCGTTCACCGGCGGAGGCGGGGCTTACTGACACGTGCGGGTGCGCTTGATTCTCACACCCTGGCAACTTTTTAACTGATGCGATGTTAAAACCCAAACAGGCTGAAAGTCCTCCATGAAAACGAGCCGATAGATCTGCATTTAAATAAAAATACAAAAAAGTGATGATGATAACAATATACAAGAATTTTTTTTAATTTTTGTAACTATTATAAACAAAACTTGTAAATCTCCAGCACAAGCTGGCTGCTACATGTTGAAACATGTCCCTGCCCTGGAGAGCTGCAGTCTGCTACTGTTTAAATATTAAAGGGAGAGTTCAGCTCTTTCATTGTGTGGTTCTCTGCTGGGTTTATTGGATAATCTGGTGGTTTTTCAATTTAGGGTCTGTCAAATAGTGATCCATGTCAGAATAAGCTGTGACATCAGAGAAAAAGCACAAAATATGAACAAAAGACATGTTTATCCAGGCTAAACTAAAGCAGGGCCTCTTTTCTATTGTTTTTCAAACTAATTAAACAAGTCTTTCTCAAAGATTTCATACATGTGTGGACATTAATTACATTATCTCAAATAGAAACTCTGATGTAAAGTAAGAAGGGGCTTACTTACCTTTTTCTCAAGAGTCAAAACAGCTTTCTGAGTGGCCTCAGTTTGAAGAAAAAGCTAACGGCTAATCCAAGCAGAACAAAGTGATCTGCTGCCATCTCAAAACTAATCTTCAAAATGTCACATCGGTTCAAGCAAACACTGCCACGGGTTTCCCATTTTACAATAATTCCACCAGAAATATTGAGATGAGGTTGCAAAGGAAGTGCTACAGCTAGCTGCTGCTACTGTGTTTTAGCAAACAACCATTTTAAGAAACAATCCCAGAGTTCTGTGTAAATAATGAAAACTGGAGGTGTTTTAAGATGGCATCAGCTCAGCCAGTCAGAGTTAAACCTCTCCAAATGGAGCGTTCAGAGCTATCTACAACAGGTAAGATATTAGTTGTCCATTCCGCTTTAAAACATTGACATTTAAAATTGCCGAAGCTTCACACAATGCAAGATTTTAGGTCATTCATGTTTGCCTTTTGTATTGTACTATGCTGTGATTCATAGGAGCTGAAACCAGTGTGTCATATGCTGCACGTTCATGTGTTTTTTAGATGACTATTTTTAATGTGACTTCTTTTTCTTTTCTTTTCTTTTTTTTTTTTACCAGAGATGTCTATCCATCCATCATCTTAACCCGATTCTTTCTTTCAGGCTCACGCTGAAATCATTCAACCTTTGTCTCATTGTCTGCATAGGTTGATAGTTATTTGTGTGTTATGTTGTTACCTACTTTATCAGTAACCTCCAAGAGGTTCTTAATTTGTAGCATGTAAAGAAGCCTTTTCCAAAAACGTTTTTTTTTCTTATGCTTGTCATGTAATTTGCTCCTGTGGTTTCAGCCTTTTAGGAGGAACTTTTTTGCATCACCTAACAGGAGTAAACATGCAATATTTAAATGAATAATAAATAAATTAAACACTGTTTTATAATGGTTGGGTGCCACCTACTGGACATAAAGACTAAATGCATGTTCATCAGACTCAACTGCACCTTAAAATAGGTGTGCTTTTTTTTCTGGATTGATTCTTGTTAGGTTGCAAAAGTTATCAATTTAAAAAAAAAGAATTGACGATGCTTGAATTTTATTGTTGAAAACCTTGTGGTTTGAGATGGGCACTGGATTAAAGGGCCAGGAGGTGATTGTCAGAAACAGACGACTAAGAAAGGTCCACCTTTTACTAAAGGCCCTGCCACACTAGACAACTTATTCCAACTTATGACACACTTTTTATGTCTAAATTGATAATAAGTTATATATTTTATCAATTTGTTTGAATTACATTATGCACATGCCAAAAAGAAGCTGTTGATTTTAATTCCATATTCAATGTAGATGTCTTTAAAATGTTCATTAGTTGGCATAAGTTGTCTAGTGTGACAGGGCCTTAAAGGAGACACTTAGGTGAACATTTGATAGTTTTTTTTAAAATAATAATAAAAATACTGGCAGCTAAATGAAAAGTTTTGGAGGTTTCTAAAGCATCGACAGAAAAAAGTGATGTTAAGCAAACAAAAAGGATGTATAGATGAGGTTAAAAAACCAACAAACAAAACAGGAAGTCATCAACAAGATGTGAACATAATGCTACTTCACACTTTCCCCCACTCTGAACAGATACACTCTGTAACAGCAAGAACTGATGCAACAACATTTATTAAATATTTTTTACAACAATCATATAGCACGCCTATAGTTGCTTTATGTTTTTTATCTTAACCAACATTTGTCCAAGACATGAGGATTTTAAACAACAAGCAACTCGTGTTTTAAATTAGGAAACTCGGGATAATAAAGTATTGAAGTAAACTCCTCAGATCTTATGTTTTTCCTGCAGGACTGGAGCAGTTTGGGTTTAAATTAGGTAACTTGTATTTTATATATATATATATATATATATATATATATATATATATATATACATATATATATACACATATATATACACATATATATACACATATATATACACAATCTGTGGTTTGCAACAAAGTACAAAGGAAAATAGGTCATTACTTTCAGGCGTTTAAAGAACTAAAGCTAATGGAAACATTAAAAACCCTACATCTGCAGGCCTAATATTACAGACTTAACTCAGGTCAATACAAAAGCACAAACAGATTGTAAGAGTTGCAGAATTTAAATGGCTGTTTTTCACAAAACAAGTTAATATTTTTAGAAAAACAAAGGCATCTACATGAATATTGGCTAATTAAACACCCTCAGATCAACAATGCCTGATGTGGCGAGGGGTCCGTGTTCACTTTTTTCCTTTTCATTGCATATCGTCTCCATGCAGAAACTGCAGTGTTGGATGAAAGTAGGTGTTTCAAAGAACGTGCTAAGATTAACATAACAGGAGCTCAGTTCGAGTACAATAAGAGAATAAACCAAAAGGAGAAAAACAAGTTTCCTGCTGCTTTCCCTAAAGTCAGGAGAAAAATATAACTTAGCCTCTAAGACTTTTACAACATTTTTATATAAAACACACAATATTATAAATGAGTTTTACGTGTCATTTTTGAGAAAACTTCAGGTACCAGTCAGTGTCACAGTGCAGAAAATCCATCACATCATTTGAGAACTTCAACAGGATGATTTTTGGTGGGAAATGTGACGTCAAAGGCACAAAAAAAGCAGCCTATTTACAAAGACAACAGTCGTTTATACAAAAATAATTATACGGGAACACTTCTGCAGAATCTGCAAGATGTCGCTGCTTTGGTGGGTCGCAARCGTCAGGAACCGATGCTGTAAATCAATCCTCTACAACAAGAACTGAAGAAATCCTCTCCTGCCGAACCAGCAGGTGTCTCCCCTCCCCCAGGGTTAGAAAGAGGAGGCAGGGCCCGGGGGAGGCTGGATGTGCTTCAGGTGGCAGGAGTGGCAGAGCAGGTGGCCGTTCAGAGGGTAGCAGCGGTGACCCTCCTCGTCGTTCAGCTCCATCTTGCAGTCCTGAGCGACACAGATTAACGACAAAGATGAGGAGAGACGCAGAAAGTTCTGCTCGTTTATCAGCTCGAAAAGTTCGGTCACACATCAGCTGCCTGATTTTATTCTGATCAAACTGAAGACGCCGCAGCTGGCAAAGAGGATGGAGATAAAGACGAGCAGCTTCATACCTGCTTGACTCAGCACTGAAGAATTACTCAGATTAATTAAGATCAGGAATCTACTCATTAAATTTATTTTAATGAGCTTCTCAGAGACTCAGAGCTGCACAGCAAACCTTCGCAGATTTGTATGTATTATTATTTCTTTTAATAACTGTTTCAAACCCACCTCACAGTGGTAACATTCCACATGATAGTCTTTGTCCATGGACACGACTCGAATGGTTTCATCAGAGCCCTGAAAGAAATATAATCAAAGCAACCTCATCAGAAAACACCTCACTGACGTCTCATTTACTGATCAGAAAAAAAGATTAAAAAAAAAAATCAAACATGTTGGTGAAAGTTCATCATCAGTCTTATTTCTGATGGTTAGAATTTCTAAATTTACCTCTGATAAAAGTAACTTTTGTAAAACATAATCTTGTTTTTTGGAAGTTCACCTGTCATGTATAAAGTTCAGCGTTTTCCTCAAATAAAACAGTATTTTTCCCTAAAGAGAAATATCAATGCATACAGAAATCTCCATCGATCTGTTAGCACTCAAAGTTTCTGTCAGGTATGACTCTCAGCTACGACCACACTAAGATGGAGCTCAATATCAACAATTTGAATTGCCTAAAGTCACTTAGCTTTGGCAGTAGGCTTGGGTGGTATGATGGTATTTTGGTATACCACTGTAATAAAATATTGTGACGGTATGTAAAAGTTATGACATAATTATCATGACGTGATGTACTAAATTTCAACAAGGCTGCTTTAAAAACTGGGACATTATGGGGCGTTCAGAAGACGCCCCATAATGTTACAGACACGTGTTCTRACCAACAAGGACCATTCAGAAGACGAACAAAATAAAATAAAATAAAACCGCAGCAACGGTGTTGTGCCACAACATCGATGATTTTCTTGAGCTGCGTGTCCTCAACGGCTACTTTCAGTGCCTAGAAGTGAGCGAGCGGTGTCGTGCCACAACGGTAATAACCCACACCCCACTGCACCCGTTTATATCACACAAGGGTACTATTTTATTTTATTTTATTTTATTTTTTTTGTGAAAATTACAGATTTCTGAAAGGTCAGTGTACAGTGGTTGACATGTACGTTACTCTCCCACTCCTGAAAAGGTGGGCGGGCCTAGTGCTGACTGACACCTATAGGGACCACACAGCTGTGGGTTTCTTAATTTCTTACGTCAAACCACCGTGCTCCTTTTGGATTTAAATTTTTGGTGACACAGGATGACTGTAATTGACAGAAAAGTTGTCTTACCTCTGAGGGCAGGATCGGCTGGTTACAGGCTGCACATTTAGGCGCCAGCACCCTGGGACAGAGAGAGGGAAGTTAACACATTCAAATTCATTCAGTCCAAAAAACAAACAAACAAAAAAAAAGACTCTTGTTCAGATTTAGTCAAACCAAGCACGTTTGTGGGGGGCTAATCTACACATGTGGCTGGATTTCTGAAGAAACGAGTGTCGCTCAGTTCAAACAGTCAGGGCTACGAGTCGAACACACACACTGTACACGCATTATGTTCCTTTTATTTAACCAGCGGACAGAACATGTGGGGGCTGCCGCCACGTGCCCAGCAGTGCTGTACATGTCGTCCACACAGAGAGACGAGCAGCTGCAGTACAACGGGCTCGACTGTTAGTGCAGCTTTCACAGTGTTCAGCACCCCCCACACAGACAAACAAAACATTTACTTTTAACAGATATGTGAAGACTGGGCGAGGCTGTTAAAGTTGGATAGCAGCAATGGCCACTCTTTTCTTTACACCTCTAACTGAACAGTGACCCCCCCGCCCACACACACACACCATGCCAGGCTAAACGCTTCCAACATCCATCACATGTAGCAGCGAGAAGCCTCAGTCCAGTGGCACGTAGCCATCTGTGCTGTGACAAAAAAACAACTAGGGGTGTAAGAAAATATCGATACACTGAAATATCACGATATTTCATTTCCCGATACTGTATCGATATTCTAAAGCCCTGTACCGATTTTTTTATTAAGGTTTAAAACGTCAACTTTCCTGCCAGCCGTTCATTTTTATGTTGTAGTTCAGTCTCTGACCACTAGCTGGCAGCAGTGAGCCAGCCATTTGGCTCCTCTACCTCTTGAACACCAGAGAGTAAGAGAGCATTAGCATTGTGAGTAAACATTAGCTTCAAGCACCGATAGCTGAATCTGAGAGGAAAAGACCGACACCCTCTGTCTTCTAAGCTGAGGTAACGTTACAAACAGTTACTTATTTGTCAGAATGTCTGTATTTTAAGCCAAATTAAGTGTCTCGTGTGCTCTTTTTTCCCAACTGTAGTCAGCCTTCACGTTACGCATATAGCGCATGTGTCTCTAGTGTCTTGAGCTCGGCGCTCCCTCTGTGATAGAAAACTGTCTGTTGCTCTGAATGTCCAGCTGATCGCATCAGTCTATATACTTTAAGTTTATCCTGCTGTGTTCGCTTCAAAAACAGTTTAACTGTGTTGTTTAGCTTCTCCATTTATTTACTGTTTATTTTCRGGACCTGCCCTGCTGTTCGAGGTTTTCATTTAATAGAATTTTTGGACCAAAAAAATCACAATGTATTGCAATATATCGGGATATCGTGACCTCTCTGTCATGATATGTATCGTATCGCCAAATTCTTGCCAATACACAGCCCTAAAAACAACAACTCTTTTTTTTTGTTGTTGTTGAGCTAAAGTCTTTCCATACAAACAAACTGGACTTACGGTGCAAACAGGTCTGTCTCACCTGTGGTAGTCTTTGACACAGTAAACCTTGTTTTCAGTGTCCACAGTGAAAGGGACTCCATCGAGGCTCTCGTTACAGATGACGCAGCGGAAACAGCCGGGGTGGTACGACTTCCCGAGAGCCTGCAGGATCTACAGAGAGGCATATTTTTTTTAAATAGCAGCCAGTTGGGATRAATCAGCGTAACACACAACTAATCAGACAAATCTGAAGCGTGTTCAACAATAAACACACTGTAGTTCCTGTTTACACATCCAGAACTGTGTGAGGTGAGAGGCCCAATAAAAACACCTTGGCTACATTGTCTGCAGGACTGAGAACACGTGGAGTCATTTTGAAATAAATCCTTCATTTCCTGACCCGGTGGCTTGGCGTGTGCGTGGCTTTGTTTGTGTTTTTTAAAGTGTGTGTGTGTGAGAGAGTCTTCTGTCTGACTCGTTATCCAGATGTGCTTACATAGTTGTTGGGTTTTTTCTCTCCCCTCTCTCTGGTTCTGAAAAACTTACTCTGTCAGCACACCTACCATGTCCATGATCAGATGTCCACATGCGTTGCACTTGTCAGCAGACTGCTGGAAACCGGAGTACTGGAACAGAGGAAAGACGACATTTCATTGAAATTTGGACCCTGCTGAGAACCAGATCTCCATCTTTGAGTCTGAGCGCAGAAAAGCTGCACATTATGTCAAACAAAGAATCCAAAGCTGTCCGTAACATTGGGGCTGTGAAGGTAAGAAACTTGTGTAAAGATGATAGTACACTCTAACCAAAGATACCTTTTTGTTCTAATTGTGCAGCTGAGACTTTTTGCTAAAAACACAATCGGTTGAGTTTGATTCCAATAAAAGCTCTTGAGGTAAACAAAAGCTCAAAGCTGCTGAGAGGATGAATAARCTAAATGAAAAGGAGTGCTGACTGATGAGTACATTGCAAAACTAAATAACATATATTCCATGCAGTTTCCTCAGATGGGTTTATATTTGTGTAAAATTCATGTGGTCATACTGTACTGGTGAGTGGCTCAGCCGACCTCTGACCTTTAAAGCAAAGCTAAACAGCTTCTCGAGTTACAGGCCTCCGTTTAGTCTCACCAACATGAAGAAACGGAGGTAAAGCAGCTATGTTAGACATGAGACACGGCTCAGAGGAAGACCTGCCGTAATAAATCAATTAAYTACACGATAAATTAAAATAAATTTTAATTTGCCTGCTTGTTTGTTTTTATTTGTGTCTCCATCTTTTCTACTCCTTAGCGTAGAGAGGAGTGAAGTCTGGTGTTGAGTATTTGCCAGGCTCATAGTCTCGTAACCTCTGTAGCATGTAGCCCCATGAGCAGGTATTCAGCCAGACGGACGCCTCCGGTTTTATCCGACGCCTTCTTTCAGCTGGTGACGCCTCAGGGCACCATGTCAAAGCATAGGTTCACAGAGTTTTTTTATACACTACGTAAATTTTGTAAACTTCTATAAACTTCATAAGCGGCATGAGTGTGACCACAATTATTTTATGACGCCAGAAGCAGACACTTATTGTGCCAACTTGGCTTAGAGGAAGTGGGAAGCCATGTTACAGATTCACCAGTTCTGTGTTTTCCCGATCTCTGCTCCAAGTCAGTTCATAACTTTATTTTGTGTATGCAAATTTCATAAACTTAAGCTTTGTAAGTGGGGCTATCATTATATTAGTTTAAAACAGTCTCCAAACAGTATTGTTTATCCCAAAGATCCAGTTCCCTGCACAGAGTAATATAGTATATGCTGTTAAGTGTCAGGAGGACTGTGATCAGTCATTCATTGGGGAAACTAAGCAGCCACTGTTCAAAAGAATGAGCCAGCACAGACGAGCAACATCATCAGGCCAGGANCCAGGACTCTGCAGTTTACACTCATCTACAGGCCAGCGGCACTGTTTCAGGAATGAAGAGGTTCTCATTCTTGATAGAGAGGAACGATGGTTTGAGAGAGGAGTAAAAGAAGCCATCTTTGTGAAGAAAAACCGTCCAACATTAAACAGAGGTGTAGGCCTTCGTGTCCAGTTGTCCCCCTCCTACAGTGCTGTTATTGCAAGTATGACTCATGCTGCGTTCCAGTTGTATCGAAACTCAAAATTCTGAAGCCAGACTGACGTCAGTTCCGAGCTGATAACGTTCCAGTTTCAAACGTTGGAAAAAGCGTTTGTTGTTAATCTCTGTAACAATAAAACTTACAATAATAGTGCTCTACGAGGTATTTTGAGTGCACAGCGTTAAAGCAAACAACTATCACTATAAAGCACTACAAGTATGTCTGACTTAATGTAAAATAAACATGACAGAACTGCTAAAAACCGTAAAAGTAAAGAGTTTCATGTGCACGGCAGCCATGTTGAAATGATGACGTAATGCATGCTCTGGCTGCTCGGGTATGGTTTGGATGCGCCGACCTCTTGACTCTAAACTACGACTTCAGGGGGCGTTCCAGTTGAAAAATAGAACTCAGAGGCTCGAAACTACGACCCCGAGGACAACTGGAACGCAGCATGAGTCATACTTGCAATAACAGCACTGTAGGAGGGGGAC